AGAAACCATTTGCCTTCTGCGACGAGACTGCCAAAGGTAAAAGAGCTGACCAAAGGCCTCCGAGTACACAGCAGGCCCCGGCCTGCCAGGGCGACCAGGGGGGTGCCTCTCCCAAGGTCCCTCATCTCCTGCAGGGCTCAGCCGTCGCCCTGACTCGTGGGGGAGGAGGTGCCAGGGGCTGCCCTTGAGGCCAGGGGCACAGCAGCAAGGGCTGCCCGAGTCAAGGCGGGGCTTGCCTGCAGCACTAACGCTAGCGTGCAGGCCTCCAGAGACCCGCTGAGGTCTGCTGGGTGAGGCTGATGAACAGTTCCAGCCCCGGGTGTTTCCTCCCCCAAGTCAGCAGAGCAGGCCCTCTGAGCTGCAGGCATCATGCTCCCAGATCCTTGCGGGGTACCACATATGGTACATAGCGTTTGCCTAAGGCACGTTTCCTGAAAAACTACACCCTCTGCTCATGCTAGCAGTGTAACTCCACCTCCCCTCCCTTCTAACATCTTAGGAGTGTTGATCATTCTCACCTTCCTAATGTTCCTTATGCAGACCCAACCACACTTTGCCCGAAGGAGCCTGTGCTGGTGTATATTCAGCAGGCAGCTGCTGCAAAAGCCATTGGGTAAGACACTCTGGAGCAAAACCCACAGGAGCATAAAGGGACCTTAGAGTCCTTTGGGTAGGAAAGGACCGAGACATGTTCCTCCCAGGGAACATTCACCTCTGGCACTGCTCTCTGGCTGAGTACCCCAGCTCTGCCAAGTCCCCAGTACTAGCCTTTTCAGAGGTGGGGTGTGTTCAGGAATGGGGCAGCACTGCTGCCTGCAGGTAGCCGTGCTCAGACCCTCCTTGCTACTGACACTGGAGCTGGCTTGAAGGTTTTTTTTTTATAGGGTGACGTAGAATCCCATCTGCTCTGGCCTTGTGTGCTGTCACAGTGTCCCCTTTGCAGCTGGGCCTGGAAGCAGTGTGTGTCCTGCCACAGTGCAGGGCTGAAGGGTGCTGTATTGCTCATGGCCACTGTATTGTCCACATAGCTGGGAGCCACAGCAAGCAGTGAAACACCCTTATTTAACATCAACCACTCAAGGGAAGAATCTAGTGCCTATGACTGACTGCAGAATCCTTAAGGAAATTCAGCTGTTTGTGCTAAAATCGGTTCATTCAGTATGAATTTCCTGCAGTGTCCACAAGATAGTGCTATCAGAACGCTTTTCCTGCAAAAGCAGCCGACAGAAAACCCTTGGTGGGTAGGGAGCCATAATGGAGTGTCTTCCAGGGACATGCTCACAGAAGTAATGGTGGCGGTGGTTGAGTTCTGGGTTCTTTATGGTCACACAAGAAACTTGCTAGACTTTAATACATACCAGGAAGCTCCTGCCAATCATTAAACAATTGGTTCTCAGTAAGCCCACATGTTAAAGGATTGCTAATCCATACACAGCCAAACATTTCTTGTTTATTTTGAGACTCTCCTGTCTGTTGGTGCCACTAGGGCAGGGTAGGAACGCATCATTTTCAATTGGGATCACACCAAGAGGCCCAGACTCACTTTGTTTTGTGCTGCTTCCCCCATACGGGGTAGGGGCTGATGGCCTATCTCATTGCAGCGTATTAGCCAAGGAGTCAGCAGAAGTAGCTGAAGAGCTGATCCAGCTGGAAGTGGTACACGGCCTGATGGTTGCTGTGGGGAACCTGGATCATGTGGCCAGCCAGAGACACTCCAGCATCTCCCTGGAGGTGAGCGTGGTGGTACGTGGTGGCGGACATCATAGCATGGGAGCTGCTCCCAGAGCACCTGCGCAGAAAGGATGCCTGCACTGTGGGTTTTTTTTCCCTAAGTGTAGCAGACCCAGGCTTATTCACAAAGGCAGGAGTGACACTTCCTTCAGGGAAGAGCTGTATTTTCCCTCCTGTCTGCCTCCCTCCTGCCACCCACTGCACGCAGGGTGCTGGGAAGCCAATGTTAGTCCTCACACCTCTGTTCTACCCCCAGGCTTGCTGTAGGTAGCAAGCACAGACAGAGCTCAGGGGCTAAGCAAGACAATTTGCCTGGAGCAAGACACTAGCACAGAATTATAAGCAGGCTATTTTTTCCTGCTGGTGCTGGGTAAAGAGTTTTGGCCTGCCTCAGCACAGCTCTGCCTGCGTAACAGCCGCAGGGAAGGACCATGCTGTCAGTAGATGGGAAGGGCTGAATGAGCGATGGCTGACAACCAGGCTCCTCAGGGTGAAAGAGGGTTTTCAAACCTGCCTGGTAATGCAGAGGGTCAGTGCACCCTTCCTTTGAGCAGGCACTGACAGCACAGCAGGATGAACTCCCTGGCAACTACTGCACTGCAATCATTTCAGTGAAACACCCTCCCCTCCTGTCAGTGAAGGTGGGAACTGGCACTGGGGGAGGAGGGGCAGGACAAGGTGAGGCTTGAGCAGGGACCCACAAGTTCCTCTTGGTGTGTTCATGAAGGGCCATCAGTAGCACTGGCACTGAAGGAGGTGGGTCAGGGACCCAGTGGTGTGTGACATGGGTTATCTGGAGCCACAACATCTGTGCAGTTCTGCCCTCTATACACACACTCACATCTCTTCTCCCTACACACCAGCTCTCTGTTCTGTTGCAGTATTTCGTCCACACATTTCCCTTCGTGAAGGAGTGTGTAAAGAAGGCACTAGGACACACACTGTTCCAGCACTTTATGGTAAACGTACCTCCCTTATAGGGTTTATTAGTGGCCCTAGAACCTTGCTCTGTTTTGCAGGGATGTTTTCGGAGTTTCTTTTCACAAGAAATCCAGTCTTGCGTGAGAGCCCTCCAGCACTTTATGGTAAACGTACCTCCCTTATAGGGTTTATTAGTGGCCCTAGAACCTTGCTCTGTTTTGCAGGGATGTAGGGACTGGATTTCTTTTCACAAGAAATCCAGTCTTGCATGAGAGCCCAGAAATAAACCCAGCCACCCTTTGAGAAGGGTTCACCATCAATCTCAGTATTCAGGAAGCTAATTGCTCTGACTCAGCCCCAAGACAGAGCAAGGAGAGATCTCAAGACTACTGCTACTTCTGTGACAGTGGGACCTTCATGTCAGAAGCACAAGCTGAAGGGCCATTGAGGCAAGAGGTGACTTGAGCTCTTCCAAATCAAGTCCCTCCTGACTCCCGCTCCTGGGGTGGATATACAGATTAGTAAACAACAGTAAGGGAAGGTGGAACAAACAAGGGACAACATCTTGTTCCTTGCACCCAGGCCCATCCCTACTCCCCCCAAGACACCACTGGGCAAGGCTGGATAATCCAAGTGTAGTAACATCTGAAGTGGAATAGGACTGCTTTGCTTTAGTCCAAACTCAGTAAGGCATCACAGCCCTTTTACTCTGGACATGCCATCTTAATATGATGCAGGCAGGGCCCAGGTACAAGTCAGCTTTGACAGTTCAGAGGCCCTTAGAGTGCTCAGCCCCACAGTGCTTCCAGTACCTAAATTGTTGAATCCAAAGTGCCCGAGCTGTGGGGGAGAATCCTGTCAGGATTGAAACATCCCTTCTCTAGATGCTTGCCCACATCCCATCAAGATCCTAACTCTTTTGCTGCTTTTTCCAGTACAGTCCTGAGACCTGGTACACAAAAATGGACCCAGTCCAGGCTGAAAAACTGGTCTCCAAAATAGCAGACAGCCCCAGAGACATGGCAAGGATGCAGTCCACAGGTATGTGCAGAGCTGGGGGCACAGACACTTAAATTACACCTTTACCTTTAGGGGGTAAGAAGGCAGCTCTGGAAGCAGGACACCAGGATGGGGGTCTAGGGAGAAAAGGGAGAAACAGCAGAAGGATCCCTTTGTGATCTGATGTTTGCATAGCTGCATCTTGTGTTGCTGGACCCAGAGCTCACAGGGCTGTTTTGTCCTTTCAGAGACAACCCCCCAAGCAAGCTGAACAAACAGGAAAGAGAGGGCAGCAGCACATGCCTCCCCACCCTGCCCCTCTGCCTGCTCCTTCCCAGAGGACAGGTTATGTGGGGCCACCTGGACCCAGGTTGCACACAAGGGCCATGGAGGAACTTTGCTGCACCTGAGCCAGTGGCCAGCCACTTCTGCCCTCAAATACAGATTTTGGTGGGCTATTGAACATGTGTATTTTGTGGCATGTTAGGCATGGGAAATCTATGGGGAAAAAATGTGAAATAACATCCTGGGGCTATATCTTCAAAGCCTAAGTAAATTCCAGTGGTACAAGGGAGCATCACAGGGCTCTTCCTACTTACCTGATGTCATAAGAACTGAGCCACTCACTACATGCCGAGCTTTGCTCACATGCAGGATAGGTACCCTCTAAACCAGCTTCCCCCTTGCTAGGCAAGTTCTACCCAGCAGGATCTCAAAAATTAAGAGACAAAATTTATTTTGAGTGATTTTGATGTAAACATTACAAGTGTAAAGACTTCAAAAAGAAACTTCATCCGAGAAATCAGCCTATCTCTACAACACCAGTCAGTCTTGTGGGGCTGTTAAGACTTTCCCAAAATCAGCAACAAATATATTCTATAAGATAGAAGATAATTAAGTCCAAGAACATTTATTTATCAAACTTCTTAAAATACTGATTTTTTACAATTACACATAGTCCATTTTCCTTCTAGAAAAGCCAGGCTTGCAACAGTTTTGCAATGTTTCAAGCATGTCTGGAAAGGTTATATGTACACTAGAAAACCATACATGTATATCTAGCTCTATCAGAGGAGGCCACTGTCACTAGCAGAGGGCCAGATGCTAGACACATCCAGCAGACTCTCCGGCCCCACTCCCCAAGCCTTGGGGGGGTGCCTTTCTAGGACTCTGCCGAGTACCCTGATACCAGGCCATGAATAGAGAGAGGCTGCCATGTTCACTGCCCTCAGGCACACGTGACCTGCAGACGCTCTACCACATTTAAAACAGGAGTTACACAAACCACCAACAAACATGCAAGACATACAAAAGACTGCTTATGTTCAACCCGGGTTTTGCTGTATTTACTAAGGCCTCTGCCAGCTCATCTGCTTGCTGGCTTGCTCCTCCAGTTGCATGGCAGCCCCCAGGGCATCCAACGTTTCTGTAAAGGCAGACAGTGACAGGGTGACCAACCTGGAAGCTGAACTCCCCAGCCCAGCTGTCCCCCTCAGCAGGGCTCTGCAAGGGCCACAGAGGGAAGCAAACTGGGCAAAAACTGCTCAGCCAACATCAAATCCTGCCTGGTCCCACAAAGCTCTTCAGCTGTACTTGTTCATTTCTACTCATCACTAGTTTCAAGCTTGCAGTTTGCAGTTCAAACTGCAAACAGATGCCACTAATCCAACCATCCCAGAGGGCCAGATTTCCCTGGCCTGTAAGGCAGAGAAGGTAGCAGGGCATTTACTCTTGTTATCTTGTCACCACCCCTCTGTGGTGAATAGAGGGATACAGCTATCAGGCTGCATTTGAGATGGGAGGACAGCCAGGGCTGTTTAAGGAAAAAAAAGTCACTACTTCAGGTTAACAGTTCACTTTGATGCTACAATTTTCAGCCTCATTAAAATAAAAATCCCGCCCAGCCCTGTTTTTGAGGCAAAGACTGTGCCAGCTGTAATTGGTCAAGTAGCAATCAAAGCCCAAGTTACTGCAACAGTGGCAGAAAAGTAGCAGGTACCAGTGTAGCTTCCCCGTCCTAGTCAGGCAGTCTATGTATGGGTACTCTTAGCACATGCCAGCCAAGCTCATACATCTGCCTTGCTGCCTCTCTACCGACACTTCAACCAGCATGGTCCAAACAAAGGCAGCACTCAGGGAACAGGCAGCTGATATCCTCCTGCACAGAGCTGGGAAGTCTCCAAACTGGGTCAGAACTGAACAGTTGGAGGGATTTTGTTGCACATTAATTAACACCCTATACTAAGGCAAAGGCATGCCAAACGCAGGTGCTGGCAGACATGGCATCTCAGTATATGCCTGGCAGACACTTGGTATAAGTGGGTGGGTATTAAGGCCTGATATCCATGAAAACAGGAGTGGAAACAGTGGGCATACCCCTGTGAATCCCTAGAACATGGCACTGGGAACTATTTCCTCAAAGTCTGCTTTTTGACCAAGGCAAAAGGTAAACTATGTAACCAACTAGCCAAACAGACTTCAGCTCATCTGCTCCTGGTGGATATTGCCTTCTGCTCAAGGGAAGGCAGTTTTATATGGCAGCGCAAAGAAAGTGGAAGTTACTAGCCAAGATTTTACTTTGGAAAGCACAGACAATAGGACATTTCAGATCTGTCCCTATGATCACCCAGGAAAGTGATCCTAACTGTAAGCTATGCAGAAGGACTGGGTGCTCAAACCCCCACAGGTATGCTGGTGCTACTTTCAGGTCTTTGAAAAAAGATTAGTGACAGTGCTAGTCAGAGACAGGGACTCACATACCTCTGACACTACGGAAGTTTCTTGAGCTGTCGTCTACAAAGTGCTTAGCTCTGCTCACAAAGGTCTCAAGATCATAGTCTGGTTGCTCCGTGACTCCCAAGAGGTAGTCAAGTTCAGTCATCACTCTCTATATTTACAAGGATAACAGCGATGAGAAATTGACTTTCTGGAAACTCAATTAGTTTCTTCAAATCTGGCACACCAATCAGGGCTGAGCTTCTACAGACCACTACCAGTCAGTGCTCATTAGCAGCAAGTAGAGGTTGCTAGTTTGGAGGGGAAGGGGGACCAGCTGGCCAGAAGCACTGAAATGCCCCAGTTTAGCCAGTTGGGCAGGAAGCCACAGGAGAAAGTTGGCAGTGAGGAAAAAGTAAACACCACTGACAGCTTCTTGCAGTACAGCCCACAGCCTACCCAGCAGCACTTGCCTCAGACAAGGCAAGGTGCTATCAACATGTAGAAGGCAGCCTGGGCTGGGGTTGCCTCTTCCACATACCTGTCTCAGTTCTCTAAGCTGTTCTACAACCTTCTCCTCTCGTTCACTAATTTGAGTCATAGCCTCACGAAAGTTGAACATGTGGGGAGAGATTTCTTCCTCCTCATCCTTGGGGAGCTGCAAGAAACAGCCCAAGTAAGAACAGCAAGTTGTTCCCAGCTTTGAGATCTGTTCAGCCCACTGCACGCACATACATTGTAACCTGAGCCTTCTCCGCTGGTCTCTCTTTCCTCAGTCTCCATCTGATTCTGTGTTTCACCACCTCCGTTATGAGGGCTGAGCTCTTTCACTCTGCAACAAGATGACTTGTCACTCAAGCTCTTCTTTCAGCAGTTTCTGGGCTACAGCATCACAAAACTACTACTACAATCAATCAGTGCTCAGCAAAAACCATTCGGCTGTGCTTAAGAAGTTGCACATTATCACCCCCTGAACAAGCTCACATGGGCAGAAACCCCAGAGGGCTGTGGGAAGGAAAGCTGAGAGATGTTTGTCTCCACAACCAATCTGGGACCTCTCCTGGAGAGAAATGTCCAAGTGCATAATGCTAATTGCCAGCAACACCTTTCACAGAAGCAGTCTTCCACACATCAGCTTGGTCTGTCATGACCAACTAAGACAACTTAGTATAGAAAGAAAAGGAGTAAGATTGATTTTTCCCAGAGACCCACTGTGCTGGAATAGGTCTATAATAAGGATAAGAGCCATGGCTGATGATATGTCACTAGATGTAGATGTCAGATACCAGCTGGGCATTTCATTCCAGTTATTAGCATCAGCTTCATATTTCCAGCAAGTTTCAGCCTAATACCCCCTTTCTTATAGCTTGAACTTACCTCATGCACTGGCTAAGAACCCAACAGGCCCAAGTCAAGACTAGAATCTTACTGAAGCACACTAAGTCAGATGTTGCATTTTGTCCTGTACTTTCAGGTGAGCAGGACTGACTGTCCACCAGAAGAAAAAAGTGCAACTTCAATACAGAATCAAATCTGGGAATCTGTCAAGATTCACAGTGTTCCTGAATGCTTATGACAAGAATTACCATGCATCCTTTCAGAGTGTGGAATGCTTTCCAGGAAGGAACCAAGCAGCCTTTTGTGAACTAAGTGAAGGAAAGCTACCAAGCCTGAAACGTGCAAGTGTCATCTTGTTAACATATGACAAAAGTCAGTCATCTTTTTACTTGTCACCTCACCAGAGAGGTGTAGAGTCATGTGAAGTGCTCACTGCTCTGTCACAGGGGTTTCAGATATCAGCAAGACCCCCAGGGAAACCTGGGGCTCAGTCCCTGCAAATCTACCGTGCCCTGCAGGTACCCAAGATGAACCATGGGGCACTCAAAACACACACTTCCACCATCTGCTTCAAGGCATTTGAGTTCCCCAGGTCCTTCAGATTTTGCCCAAAGTCTCCAAGGTGCCATACCCTATCAGCTCACATCAAAGTCCATCAAGAGCACCAAGTGTTTTGTGTCAGCTGTAGGGCCATGTCAGGGGTGCGTTCTTAGCACACCACTTACAGATGGGACCCAAAGTACTACAAAAAGTAAAGGGCATGGAGGTAACCATTTAGGACAGAGTAAACTCCCTGCAAAACCCAGGACAGTCTGAAGTCTAGTATGAGAGACTCCTCTGAGGAAAGGAGGTATTAGTCATGGTTTAATACATGTCTGTTATGTCTCACACAGAGAACACCCAGGTTAGTTTCATAAGACAGCTCTAAGGTAATTTGGTCCTAACAGCCAACCTCCAAACTGCCATTACAGGCAATGACAAGAGAACTTTCGGTCAGAATAAAAGCAGCCAAAACACCTTCTGCAACAAGAGTAGAATCCCCAGGTCAGAAAGGCCATTACCTGTCAGCATATCTCAGGGTGTTCAAGGTGTACTCACACGAACTCATGCCTGGAGAAATCATTGCTATCTGCAAACAGAACAAAATACCTCAGCAACTCCCACATCTGACTCTTGCTCATATTAGTGGTCCTACAGATCTCAAGAGGCAGCTGGGACATGCTAGAGCAAAGGGTCAGAGTCAAGACATTCTGGCAAATCTGTTTTTCTTTATAACTTCTGTGGGACATGCCAGTGGCCCTGTATGCAGCTTTCAACTGGCTTTGTGTACACCCAGTGTGCTGCAGCCTCCACAGGAAGCAAAGCCCTTTGGGAGCACACCAGGCTCTACTGTGATTCACTGTATGAAAGTGACTTCTGCAGCCCCACTTCTACTGGGGCTGGGCAAAGCTCACGGGTTTTTGATCTCAGTCACCATGGGTGAGTGGAGGAGGAAAACTGTATGACTTTTTTGCAGAGAACTGAAGCTTTCTGACTTCAAAGTCCCCTCGCTGTAGAAGAGCATGCAGCTATTTGGTCAAATTACAGAACCCGTAAGCAGTGTGTATGTTTGTGCCATGCACATACTTACCATACAGGTCCTCGAGTTTGTTCCTATGAAAGAGTCTCTTAGCACCTGGGTCAGCTTGCTCTCCCGAAAAGGGGTATGAGATTTGTTCTGCCCTAAAGCTCGGATACATTCCTAAGAAAAGACAGTGTCTTGTGAATGCAATATCAACTACCAATTGCTGGTAAACTCAACAGGCTGGAGAATGGTCATTTCTATTGCTCTGTAAGTACTTCATAGCTTTTTAAATATACTCCAGGTATTTGACTGTCACAGAACAGCTGGTATATCCATCTATGTACAAAAAAAGACAACTTGAATGAAGCTTGAAATGGCTGTACCAGTGTCTGGCCTGACAAAACTGCAGTGCTTTCCTGAAAACATTCTAAATGGAAGTACATGCCCTTTTCAGGGTTGATAACATACTAAACTAGGATCTTTTTTGGCTGTTCTTTTCCCTTGCACTGGAAAGAAACAGAACAGATAACCCCAGAGTTACATGTGAGCAGAATCTATGTGTTGATTAGCACTACTTGCTCCTGGAGCTATAGCTCACCTTCAAAGCCAGCAAGCTCTTATTGATTTCTGCACCTTCCATTCGTGTCTGCCTATCAGCACTAGAGGTGTCTGCACCCCTCTCATTTCCTGCCAGATCCACCAGGGAAAATTTGCCAAGCAGTTTCCCTCTTCGGCGTAGTATGATTTGGAAGCAGGCATGTGACCGTGAAGAGCTAGCATTTGCAAAAGTCTGCCCAGATGTCCTACAGCAGAGATGAAAACAAGCATTAGAACTGTGTCACAGAAGACTCAGTAGGTCTCAACAGCAATAGACAAGACCTGCAGCCCTTCAATTAAGTTGTTTAACCTCCCCAGTTTTATTCCACACATTAATACCTCAAGTTTGCATGAATTATGGAATTACCTCTGATACAAGAGCATAGAAGGACTGCTGTGAAAAATATGAACCTGCACCCCAGCTGTAGAGATTTAAGGCTATTTAATCTGCCTGGCTCAACTCAGTCAGCCTACACTGGAATGCCTTTCTGACTGCTAATGCCTTACAGGCATTTGGAGCTGGAAGACATACCTTCAGCACTGCATCTCCCTGCCCCAGCGCAGGCCACGTGTCATTCTCCTAATGGATCTGCCATTACGCAGTAAGCTCAGCCAAGCTCCCCAATAAACAGCATTAGCTGTGCTAGCACATTACAATCATGGTAAATACCCTGCTCCAGCCAAGCTAGCTTGGCACCTTACCTCTGCTGTGCAACTGCACCTGCCCCATCACTGCAGGAAACAGACTGGTGTCTTACAGGTTACCATAAGCCTCCCTGCCACCTTCACTATCATTTATTCCCTGAGAAGGCTGGCAGGTTCGCTGTCCCACCTGCAACCTTGCTGCTGGGGGAAAGGGAAGGAGGTTGTCCTGAAGTGAGGCAGGAGTCTGAAATGTTAAGCAGTTCTTGACTGAATCGTCAGCCAAAAAAGCATGCACAGCAGAATGCCAAAGGAGCTTTCAGGATGTGCATATCTGCACATGCAGTGTAATACAGAAGCCAAGGAGTTCTCATTTGCCTAGTAATGTTTCCACAGCAGTTGCAACTTAACCAAGACAGAAAAAAACTTGGTAATTCAGATTTTAGCTCCTGATTAAAGACACCAGTATAACAGTAGAGTTGCCCCAACCACAGCCTTCCTGCCAGGATGATGAGCCAAGCCTACAGCTGTCCCTTGGCACCTGCTCTCAAGGATTCTTTAGACAAGATCCCCAAGCAACATTGCACATTTTTGTTGCCATTGGAATAGCTCATCTGGCCTGCAGTTAAGCCAAAGCATTTTTGCAACTCTAGGTTGATGCCAGCTGCTCTTCCTTGATCCTACAAGTCCACAGGAGCTACTTGTGCTCCTGTAAACTAGCTGATACTTCTAGAAAGCAGCTTGACTGCTCGGTTTAGCTGTGGCACCAGGGCAGCCATCTCCTCATGTGATTAGCTTCTCTCTCCATGGAGTTACATGAGGACATATGAACCATGAACTCTGACCTTCGCTATGAAGGCAGACTATACTCATCCCTGCTAGCCCTTTATTCTGTAACCATCATCTTGTATTCATGCAGAGGTGCTGCTCAGTGCCTGCCTGTTACTGGGAACAACAGGCTCCTGTTTAAGTCTCAAAGCACCAGTTACAGACATTATATATTTTTTGTAGACATGGAGGTACAACAGTACATGACTCTTCTTATTGGTTTTAAGGCACCAAACCTGCAGGCACTGCCCATCTCAATCATTCTGATGACATCCTCAGCACAGCCGACTTGTCTCTCTTGGAGACCAACGACCTGAACCTGCTGCTTGCCATCCTCCAGGACTCGAAGCTTTGCCTTCTTATTCAAGAGGTCAAACACCTATATTTAGGCAACAAGATTAAGGCAAATCTGAACAAAGTCTCCTTGAAAGTCTTTTTCACTCTCTTTATAGAAAACTGTACAGAAACAGTACCGTTAACATAACCTTCCAGTTCAATTCCAAGCACACCAAGACTAGACTGTGTAGAACTATAGAAACTAGTAAGTTTCACTCAGCTACTTATGAATGATTCAGCCAAAGAAGTCAGGTCAAGTTTAAAAAAAAAAAGTCTTACCTTTCCATTATATATTTCAAAGAAAGTCACATAGACTTCCAGGTCCTGACTCTTGTACCTGGGCTGGTTTAGAAGGAGGAAGACATCTTGTGCTAGTGAGGAAAGGCAGGAGTTTAGTTAACTAGTTTAAAACATATTCTAGTTGCTACTTGATCTACTTTCAAGTGTTGCGCAGCCATAAGGCAGTGTCTAGCAGCTCAATAACAGTCATCCTAAACAAATGCTAGTGGAACAATTAGTGCTGTGCTACCATCTGGAGAGCAGTTCCAGCAGCATCCTCATCCAGGCACTGAAAATCACAGGGGGATACAGAAGTTCACTGCTAGTGTCACCCACAGACAGTAATCCTTACTGATCTGGGGGAACACCAAGATCTGCTCGTGTTTTGGACAGGCCTGAAAAAGTTATGTATTCGTGTTTCAAGCACTTCTTGCGGAAAGCCTAAAAAACATGCATCCCTGAGCATCTGCACTGCTGCTGTTTGGAGACAGTATACCAGATTAGTTGACCCTTTGGCTGGATCCAGTGCAGCTTCTCACAATTAGGCTTCAGACTTTGAAATTGAGCTGAAAAGCAAAGACTTTCCTTCAGGACAAGTCATAACTAATTTTCAGAGACTAGCAAAGAGTTGCTCTTGTTTCAACTGCCTTGCTACGTGGACTAGTTTCACAATATGCCTTTCTAAAGGGAGGGTAGAGGAGGTCAGGGTTCATAGTGCTTTCTAGGCATTATATCAAGGAGGGGCTTCTAAGCGTCTGTTTTCTGAATATTTTGTATGCGCTAGGTTTTTTTGCATCTAATGCTTACAAGAAGAAACATAACTACATTCATATGCTTTCTGTATAACAAGCTTTTTATCAGAAATGGGTAGGGTTGTGTTGCATTCAAGTCAGGTATTTCCAAACACCATCCTTAGTCTGAGACAAAAAACAAAGCAGAAGAATCAAAATTAAATGGTTCAGCCCAGCAAATGCCAAACCAGAGAATATGCCACCTCTCTGCCTCAAAAACAAGTATCTTCTGGTGAGTTAAGTGTGGATCTAGAAACTTACAGGCTGGATGGAAAATATTTTGTGAAACAAAAAAAAAATAATCATACCTCCTGCAACAAATACCACTACTTATCACTGAAAACAAATACTTCATGTATCTTTTACTGGAAACATTTTAAATAGCCATACAAAACCAGATCTTATCTATTTAAGAAAAAGCACCACTTCTGATTTTCGTATCTAAAGAAGAATCAACTTACATGCAAAAGCGTATATACCCTTTGAGGCATTCTGTGCTTTCCCAGAAAAGTCTCCGCCCATGGTCTGTGAAGAGAAAAAGGCCAGAGGTAAGGTGTGGTACAAACAAGTCAGTCTACCTGATTTTAGTCCCAAGAACATACTAGGAAGTTACCATATACATATGCTCTGATGTCAGCGAGATGATTAGAACACAGTACAATTCAGGATAAAATTAGTTTGCTGCTTCCCTATCGGTTCAGAAAGAAGATCTGGACTATGCAAGGCAACAGCTGAATGCCTGTAAGGTTCTGCAGTGAAGAGTCAAAGCAGTTGCTCCTCCAAGGGGAAATGCATGGCCTTGACAGTGCAAGCAAATAGCCTCCAGTCAGAAGAAACAAAGCCTCATTTTTTAGGACATAGGCTGAGTAATATTTTCACTGCTACTCGCAAAAGCTGACATCATATCAAAATACATCAAACTTCTAGAGTTGACAATACCTTTAACTCCTTTGACCAAGGTACCTTTAATCCCAACAAAATTTTCAGTTGGTGCTATCCTGGTGACCGGCTCTACCACTTTTATGTGAAACAGAGTCAATTATTTAAAACCACAACTCAATCCCATGACACGTTCTCAGTCTACTAGAGTTTAATATGCAGCACTCCAGTCAAGGTACAGCTCAGTCTACTAGAGTTTAATATGCAGCACTCCAGTCAAGGTACAGCTATTATCCTTGCAGTAGTTCTGCATCCTAGGATCAGGAAGGGGAAGTAACTTCATTGCCTATGATTTTAGTGCCTTACAGTTGTATTCCTGTAATGATGCTCAGATGAGCATGTTTGTCTGCCCATTCTAGTGCAACAGAGGCAGCCTGTGTCCAGACTTCTGTAAACTTCCAAATTTCCTTCCGGATTACTGGAAGAGATCTACAGCTTGCTACATTGCACTGATGATAGGAGATCCTAGCCTAAAACTTGCCTCTAACACTGGAATGACAGCAACTGTCTGATTACTCAAACTGGCAAGCTAGCCTAGTCCAGATCACTGTGGTTTGGGGTAAAGGCTTCTTGCAGAACAAGACAGCAGCAGATTTGACTCCACTATCATGCTGTTTCCCACTTTCCTTCCCTATAGTTTCCAGAAGAAGGAAGTTAAAAAGACAACACAGTTGTTGAAAATTTAGAGCATATCACCTTTGAGACAGAAAACACAATCTTCAGGTCTCTTGAAGCTGCAGCTGGTAGACTGGAAGGAGTGGTTAGAAAGTGAGCACACTAATTTGCCCACTTCATAAACAATAGCAGATCACTTAAATGCAACAAGAGGCTTATTTTTATATAATTGCTAAAGTCTTTGGAATGCCTCCAAGCTCAAACACAACACAGACAATAGCCTTTGTCTCAGATGTAGGCTAATAGCCCCACTTTGCAGACTGAAGTTAGGCATCGACAGCCATTTGAGGCAAGGAATAGCAATGACTAACACTAACGTGTCAGGACATCCTAGAGTCTTTTAAAAAGCCAGCTATAGCGGGATTTTAGTACGATTTTCCTCACAACCTCAAAGGAAACCAACTAATACATAACACTACAAAAAAAGAAGATTAACAGCTGCCAAAGTATTAGCTTTAAGCCAATAAAACCAAGATCCAAACTCCTTATACAATCCTACTCATTATGAACATCAAGGAGCTTTAAAATACTTTACCTAAAGCTAGAAAATTGGAGGTCTTGGAGGGAAAAAAAAAAAACAAAACAACTTACATGTGTCTTGCCACTGCCTGTCTGGCCATATGCAAAGCATGTTGCCTTCCCACCCTCAAAGATGGTCTCTACAAGAGGTCTAGCAGTGAACCTGGATATTCAGAAGGTAAAAGACAGTTAAGGCAAGCATTTCATACCCTGCTTCATCAGTTTTCCTAAAACAAAAAAAGGCAAATAAAAGCAATTCCTTAGGAAATCAGCAAGGCCATGCAAAAAATAAGCTTTAGACTTTTCAGTCCTTTGGTTTCCTCCAAAAAGGATTTTAATATTTATTCAGGTAGCAGTTTCTTTAAGCCAGGATCCCATCTAGCCATAGCTCTGTGCTTTTATCTTGAAGGTTGTTCCCAATGAGAAGAAAGCATTACCTGTACACCATTTCATTAGAAGAGAATTCATCAAATGAAAAGTCAAATCTAAATGCTTGGGTTTCCAGGTATTTTGTTAGGTCCACTTTCTGCTTTGGCTCATGCACCAGCAGGACAGACTTGCTCGGAACAGTAATCACATCACATTCCTTTTTTAGAAGTTCTGTTGACAGAAAAGACCCTCAGTTTTAACAAGAATAAACAATGCCAAATTGCTCCAAGACAGAGCTGCTTTGTCAGTACACTCACCTTGTTTATTGAGAGGGCGCTTCCTCACACAGACACAAATCCTATGTTCTTCTATCTAAAAGAAAAGTAAGAAAACAAGTAATAATTATTTCCCAATTACAGCCACACCAACTTAGTATTACAGAGAGAAAGATCCAATGCTCCCTCACATCTGCTTTTCTATATGCTGATCAGAGTTGCCTCTGCTACTTATCAGACCCACTCATGCAGGGATGCAAGTCTTAAAGTCCATCCAGTGCAAAAAAAACCCACTACAAACCATTGACCTTTATGTAGCACGCTCCAGCACAGCAGGTGGAAGTGCCGATATGCTATAGAAAGTGCCCCAAATATTCCGTGTCAGAATTAGTAAAATGTTTAGTCCTTGGCCAGCTTTCCAGCAAAATCTGTGATACCAATACTGTGACTATGGTCAAATTCAGGCAAATTATTATTATTATTTTAATTTACCCCAGAAGTATTTTTTTTTGACCTGGAGTTCTGATGCAGTAAGTTTAGCTATTTGTGCAGTACAGCTACACATTGGTTGAATTTGGGAAAGTGCATATTCCATTGGGTGAGGCAGAAAGCAGAAGACAAACTCCTCTGCTGTCATGCAGCGATATGTACACAAACAGCTGGTTCTCAGCCCCATAGGATGCCAGCACACAAACCACCTAGTGTTGTAAGCTACTCCACACCTACTTTTTTTTTGTTTGAACTTAAATGCTGTCAATTTTTCACTGACCACAGCAGGCCTTTTGCTGGACAAGGACTAGTTGTTCTCTGGTATTAAACAATGCTACCTCCATAATTGCTGAAGATATTGACCAATCCTGGTTTTTCTAGTTTTTGACCTCTACTTTTAGCTCCTCTGCTTTTTGACCTAGTTTAAAATTACTTAATACATGACTTACATATGATAACACTTTCTGTTATAGGGCAATAGTCTGTTTTAAATTATACCTGCACCTACAACAAGCTACCCTACTATGTAATAGGCTCTGCCATTTACACGATCTGAAAAATACTGATGTTACCACACAAATTGTTCCATGATAATTGTCAAAGTCCAAGCTCTTCACTAGTGACATAAGCAAACTAATACAAGGCAGCTTAGCCCTAAATAGGGGAGGTAAGTGACCTCGCATATACCACCAGGTGCCTCAAGATCACAATACGCTCAGAGGATTTCCAAGGTGCAGTGATGCACTAAATTGCTCGTATGCTGAAATCTTCAGTACAAAATAAAGTCTGTCTACGGGCTGCAGTTGGTATCATCAGTATTTACTTACTGGGTCAGTTATAGATATTGGCTGACAGTCTAAAGTTGCTCTGAATTCCTTGATCATCCGTGCAAACTCCCAGTTTGGGCAGCTGCTGTCAAATTCCTGCATGGAAAAACCATGGATGTGAAGGTAATGAACCTGTTGCAGCAAAAAAGCCCCAGAGCATACTAAACAATCAGCTGTACACAATTAGAAGCCACAAGATTCAGAACTTTCTAAAATTAGAATCAATCCATCCTTATGTACAGCTTCGTAAGAATAAAACCTGTCCAAAATGTTTTGGTTTCAACTATTGTGATGCACTATCCTATAGAATTTCCCCTTACTGGTGTATTGCAGAGTACTCCACCTGTGCACGTTTTGTTCTGATTTCATTAATTTGAGCTCTCTTTTCTTCTCTCTTGTTTTTCATCTTCTCCATCTCTTTCACAATGTTAGATCCTCTCCGAACTAGATAAAACAAAAACATTTCCTTGGATTAAATTTTCATACTAGGTTTTAAGCACAATACAAATATTTCAACTTTTCCAGGTTGCTGACAGACTCACTTACAAGTGAAAGGAAACAATCAGTACAGGAAACAATCATCTTCGGAAGGATGGTCATTAATTTTGCAGTGCTTCCCTCCCAAACCGGATCTACCTACCACAGAAACTACCTAGCAAGCCTCATTACCACTCTAAAGTAAAGGCAGCATTTCTGAGGAGATACCACTATAAAAGAATTATACGTTTGTAATAAAAAATACTCAAGATATCCAGTCTTACTGCCAAAGGCACCTTTTCAAAGCTTTAGTCTCAGAGTATACAAAGCAGCAATCACATAGTGATGCATTGCTGACTGGTGAGTCAGTTCTTACCCACTGCTCCCTGGTACCTGGGCTCACTGAAGAGCTCATTCTAGCAGCACGCAGATGATCCTCTGTATTTCCATTTCCATTTGTCAGTGAGACTTCTGGAGCACAGCTCAGCCTGCTAGTCCTGGTTCGGCCAGCTGCAGAAAGAAGCCAGACCAAACCAGACAATTAGATCCCAGAGATCAAGAATAATTTTGTGATTTGTAAAGCTTCGCAGACCATAGGCATTCCTCAACTCTGGATCAGGAGAGAGAACTAGCTAAAACCTGTGGTAAGTGAGGAAATAATTAAATCCTTTGCCAATTACCAATTTTTATTCAAAGCTACAAATCAAGGCCACACTGACTAGACAAGAATGTAGTACCAAGCCTCTTATCTCAGTGTCTTTGCAGAACTTAATACACAAGGTATGCCCTCAACTGTTCATAGGGTAGGTCTGATAAGCACAAATAACTACAGTTTCATAATTCAAGTAGGCTCAAGTTCTTGCTTCACTCAAGCAGTATAGGTAAAACTACTACTAGTGTAGTTACAGAGTGTGTTGTCAGCAGTATTAAGGCACTTCTCTTCCCACTCTAGCCCTGTGAATACCTCTTTATGCCGTTAAGCAGATACCACATGCATCCACACAACCGCAGCTCTCTGGCTAATAAAGCACATCATTATTCAACAACATTTTTCCAAAGTCCTTTGAGAACCTCTTCAGGTAGGAGCTCTGGATATTTACATAGTGGCAGACCTCTAGGTGTCTCTTGTTTTATATATGAAGGAGTAGAGGTTGCTCCTCCCCCTGGGATTTGCAGTTCACCTAATTAAATGCATACAAAGCATCTTGCTTCGTAGTAAGAATTCTTTCTCCACTCACCAGGAACTGATGAATTGTTTCTGGTTTGTATAGAAGTGCAGGGATCCACCCCCATCTCATTTTCCTGGAGGCTGCACTGAGATTCTGTGATAACAGACATCCTGGTACGGCCAGCAACAGCTTTGGAAACACGAATTCAAGGTCAGCATCATGCCTCAGTCACTCAAACATTTGCAAGTAAATCAAGTACTCACAAAATGCAGAACAGTGAGGAACAAGGTGTAGTTAGAAGGACCACTTCCAGATCTCTAATGCATTAGCAAAGTGCAGGACAAAGCAACAAAACATAGGTCAGTGAGAAGTGATCATGAAATACACCACTACAGAAAAGCAAAGAGTTCATTCCAGATTTGCAGTTCCAGTGAATTTCTTTCAGGTACCACTAAGGATTCACTAAAATGGCAGTTCCAGAGCCTTAATACCTAGGAAGGAAGAAGTTAAAGTCAGGGAACTGGGAAATCCTCTGAAGCTTCACACATGCAGGGCTGTGTGAATCAACTGATGGTGACAGTAGTACTGCAATCTGGTCATGGGCAGCATCATGCCCACCATCACAGCACCCACGCACAGACAGCATGCGTGGTGCACAGTGGAGAGGGAGCTTGATAACACTGAATTCAGCTAAAAGACTCTATATAATCACAACAGTAAATCTTTGGAAAGGGTCCTTTTGTAGGCAGTCTCCATTGTCACATGCCAAGGTATTTCACCGAGACCGAAGTCCCTTGCAAAGCTGTCTGGGGAAGGCATTGCAACATACACCTCAAGGGATTTGTAAAGAAAGCAAATCTGATATGAAAAAAATAGAAGTGTGATACGAAAACTAGAACTGCCTTCACCTCTAGCAATCACAATAATTTATCCAGAATTAATCACTATGGTTTTAGAGGATGCCAGATTTGTTTCAGACCAAGGGTAAATTTCAATTCTGGATCAAATTCCTTAGAACTGTACCCACAAAATTCAGTGCTCGTATCTGTTGACTCTTTACCTGGAATCTTGTGCTCAGGTGCAGAGACTTTAGGTGTCACTGCTGCAACTTTAGGAACAAAAGGCATCAGTCTCATTATACTCAGAGATGGCATTTTTTTCCATTTGCGTTTGTCACACATGCCCAGACCTGATCTCATCACAAACTCAGCAGCATTTTTTCTATAAATGATAGTGCTCCTGGACAGGCATACCAGCTGGAGGATTTGCTGCATCTAAATCGGTTTGACTTAAGTGATTCTTGTACATGACGGTATTCAGCATCCTCCAAAATTCTTATTGATTCAGAGGACTGAGGCAACATCTGTTTCTTAAGTCATTCTGAAAGCACTGCTGCTGCTTCTTTCACTTCCCTGAAGGAGGTGGAGACAGACACCTCGTAGTCTTCTTGAGTGTGTTTGGTCTAAGAACCTAAACCTGAAGCCAAAGTTAGCTTTCTAATTGGTGCAGTGCAGAGTGTGCAACAAGACAGATACTCATTGATACTTGTGGGGTTTAGCTAGCTGTAACAACAGATAATAATATTTGAGGAATACTGAAAATACTGCTTCTCTCTTGTACTCTGAGCAGGTCTTCAGCAGCAAGATTGTGCCAGTAGGAAAGACAGATATTTCAGATTTGCAATTAGATTCTATACTTCAGGAAAGCCATGACCTCTATGAGGCCATTTTTCCATCAATCAGTGACTGGATTAAAACACCTTTATTTTTCCAGCTGGCTACCCAGGTCCATTAGCTGACCTGTCTAGAGACAGTCACAACTTTAGCACATCGTTTTCCTTGCCAGTTCACAAAATTTATGGAGAGTTCTCTGGATTTGAGGAAGATGGGGATGCTCTAGTACAGAGCAACTTCTGACACATTAAGCTTCTTTTGACTACTCCTGCCTCTCCAATGCAAGGGCATTTGTACTGTTGTCTTCTGGTACCAGCTTCCCTGTCTTGCATCACATACAGCAAAAGAGGCCAGACAAGCCCTGCTGTTTTGTTTACAGCTCAGTTGCATGGAAAAGCACAAGTTCTGGCTAACTGTGCACTGTAAGAGGATCATTAAATTAGCAACCTCAGCATGCGAGTGTATTACAAATAGACCTGTAATGCTGCCACTTGCAATTCAAAAAGCCAAAAGAGTCAACTAACAAGCTAAAAGGTAGAAAACATGGGAGTTTTCTAACTCCTGACACCTCAAGAAAAACAATTCCTTAGCGATGCCACACTCTTGACATCTCTATCTTCTCTTCTGGCTTTGCTCAAAACGCTGTACTGACACAGTCACTGAGCTATGGCACACCAGCTGGCGCTTTGGCTGCCTGGTCTGAAATGTCTCCAAGGATAAAGCTCTAGTTATTGTCAAGGGGGACTGTTTGAAGAGGAAACATCCATTTGTCACCACTATTTCTTTCTTGCCCTTTCCACTCTCATTGACACTTTTAATCTTCATAAGTGCCACTTACCTTTTGTGTTTGTGGCATTTGCAAAACTCCATACGAAACTTTAAAACTCACTGCAACAGTAACTGCCTAGTGACATTTAAAGCAATATCAAGGAATAACTACAGCAATGCTGCAGAAAAGGACAGCATGTCAACAAAGCCCAGGTCGTAGGAACAGGACAGCAATCTGTTAGCAAAGTTTCTGCACTCAGGAGTCCAGAGTGTTGGTATGAACCAGCATGTTCTTTATTAGCATTGTCTGAATAACCAGCCTTATGATGCACTCAGCTAGAATATTATGGCTGCAATGGAGGACCACCACTGTTTCAGAGGAATATAGCTAAGAACATTTTCTCACCTTCCCGTGGAGCAGGAATTTTTGAAAGGGTTGTTCTACGCTTCTGTTTCTGAAAAACAATGACTGCTGTAAGGAATTGGATAAGCTGCAAACACCTAGCACAGCACTTCAAGACAACACCAATACAAGGATTTCTGACCAAAGTCTAACTGTGAGGCAGAAAAGACAAGTTAGAGACCTCAAACATTAAGACGGAGGGTATTATTTATAACAAGACCGTATTATTTATAACAAGACCTATGCTGCTGACACTTTAGTACCTTAGGAGAGACTAAATCACTTTAAGCACTTACCTTTACAGTTACATTTTCTTGCAAAGGAAGGTTCTCTTTCACATCTGCAGCAGGTTGCTCTTCTGATAACTCAGGATTTATTGTTATCACATCCTCAAGGTCAATCTACAAGAGCAAAGGTAGGATTTTACAGAGTGGAATATTGCCGCTACCACTTACGGCATATTTTTTTTTTAACCTCGACTTTCAGTACAGGCAAACAAACCTCACCCACTGCCTGCCAAATATTAAGTTAAAATTGCCTGGAAGGGCAAGACAGTAGCTCATATTCCCTTTGAGTGGTCTCGTATGTCCAAATATGCTAGAAGAAATGTGCTAGTTAAGCCATTTACCCTCATCTACCATGGACCATGCAGCTCTGCAGGTGCCGTAAAACACTTCCGAAGAGATGGGCAAAGCACATTTGGCATCAACTGCTCTAATCTCTTACTGCTAATCTTAGTAAATCTCAGTCACTCTGTGACTTCTGTTGTAGGAGAGCATTAAGTGTTTACTGTGTGATTGCGCTTACTGAAATAAACTTCAAATAGCTGCTTAGACTTTGAGAAATGAAGGATTCAGCATTTAATCCACAAGTCAGTTCACCTGCATTTTCATTTGCTATTGTGAGCAATTTCACCTAGGGCCAGCTACCACCTCCTGCCTGACCCTCCAGTGAAGTCATAATCCTGCCTTTGCCTCATTCTGCGGCACCCTGGCACAGGCAGCCACGGGGCAGGCAGCCAAGGGCAAGCTCGAGCACAAGAGACCAACTCTCTCAGTTCAGTTTTTCAAACCTAACCCTACAAAAGAGGTTGAAAGCACGTGTACACAAAAACTCCAGTCTCACAGCAGCTTGCACGGGAATTTGCCTAGCAGAGCAACGCAAGCACCACTCCAGAAAGTTCTTGAGTTCTCAATTAACTTTTAAATTACTTAAATAAAGAGTCCATAAAAAGAGCAAAACCAAGTAGGTGAACCTCTGTAAAATGTAGAGACACCACATGATAACATAAGAGAAGTAATCTATAAAGCTTGATTTATATGGAATCTTTATCTAATCAGAAAGTGAATTAGCTCAGAAATATGTATATGCAGACAATATAATATGTACTAACAGCGTGTAAGAAAATTTGCTGGGTTTTGAGTTGTCTTCATAAAGTTTTAGTATTGTAGGACCTACACAGAATTTAGCCAGCAATCATACCTGAATCTGCAAATTTTGCGTATTTGAACACAAACAGTACAAGATCCTATTTCAAAGAACCTGCCAACGGCAACTTTAAGATTTTAACTAAGCTCTAGAGTATGGGTTTCCAGAGAAACAGACAGCACAAGCACGTTTGCTCGGTTGCCAAAGGAGATGTGTGAAGTGTCAGGATTTCAGCCACATCAACCTCGAGTGCCCCAGGCTCCCTCCTCCCCCCGCTCCCAATCTCACACAGTATTTATTTCGCACCAGCACAGGGATTCAGGAAATCAAACTCAGCCCTCTTCGCGTGGCCCCCAGTAAGCGGCACGTTAAGCCCTACGGAAAGCCTGCAGGCCGCTGTTACAGACAGGAAAAACCAACAGGCAGCCCCAGAGCTGAGAAAACCGGGACTCCGGGGCATCCAAACCATCAGCCGCCAGCGCAAGCGAGGGGCCCAGCATTCCCCGCTTCACCCAGAGGCTCAGAGCCTGCTCCGCCGCGGCCACAGCGCGCCCAGCCTTCACGCCTTACCTTCACGCGTGGGTGTCGCGGCTTTCCTTACGCCCGACGCTAAAGCAAGCGCAGACCCGAATCAGCTGCAAGAGCGGGGAAGGGGCGGCGGGCGCGGCCATCACTCACCTCCTTGCCCTTGACGGCGCCGCCCTCGGACCACTCCACGGACACGGAGGACCGTCCCGCGTTCA